TCCCTGCAGGAACGTTGGTTCCCTGCAGGAACGTTGGTTCCCTGCAGGAACGTTGGTTCCCTGCAGGAACAGCCTCCACGCAGGAGTTCACCCAGGGAAGCTGTGGCTGCCCCATCCCTGGAGTGTTCAAGGCCAGGTCTGAGCAACCTGGGCTAGTGGAAGGTGGCAGGGGGGTGGAACAAGATGAGCTTTAAGGTCTCTCCATCCCAAGCCACCCCGTGGTTCTCTCCTGGCCCCAGAGAGCAGAGGCACGGAACGAGGAGCTGCACCGGGCGCTGCAGAGCCTGCGGAGCGAACACGCCGCGCTCCACCTGAGAGCCACTGCCCTGAGCCAGGACATCGACCTCAAGGCCCAGCACATCACTGCCATCGAAGGTATTGAGTGCAGGGAAATAGTGCCAGAGGATATAAGGGAAGTACTCTTGAAATTCTGGTCACACAAAAGACCCGCTGGCTTTCAATGCGCTGCACACCTCAGCTTCTGATTTCTAAAGGGCCCCCAAAAGCCATTTCCAACTAGATTAAAGGACTTCAGAGAAGTCAAGTGACTTTCCTAGAAGAAAGGATGGCCTGGGAGACCTGAACAACAACAAAAAAAAATAAATCAAAGCTGAGTTCTCAGCTTTGATGAGGGCTTTGCATCCTTCCAGACCCATCAAACACAGCAATGCAGTGCCTGTTACTGTCTGAGGTGCTGCTTGTGGTGGGAATTACCAGCCTATAAATATGAGCTAATAGTGTCCTAGACCACTGCTTTGGATAGAGACAAGCAAACTTCATGTGGTTATTTTAAAACATGATTAAGGAAGAGCAAATGGGTGGCAGTTCTAATTTCATAATAAGTCTCGCACAAACAGCTTTAAAATAAACCATAAATTAGTAGAATGTAAGGCACGCTGGAAAAAGCTGCCAAAACCAAAAGGGCAATGAACAGCTAAAAATCACATCCCTTCAGAGAAGAAAGTTTGGTGTAGGCAACAATATCTGCTCCACTTTACACCCGTGGAGAAGGGGAAAGTTGCCATCCTTGCATAAAGATACAGAGATCTACGCCAACCTTGATTTCCTTCTGTCGTTATTTCAGACAAACTGCAAAAAGAGCAGAAGCAGAAGGTAATGCTGGAGGCAACAGTCAGCCATTTGCACAGTGAGTACCACAGAGATGCACAAGGTAAGAGGCCTCTGTAGGTGCTGTGGACAATAATGTGCCTTTCTGGGTTCACAGACTTGATCCAGAACAACCAACGGAAGAGCCAGGAGGTGGCAGTGCAAAAGAAAGGTCAGCAAACTTTGTAACCCCCACTTAGCACTCACTGGACACGAGAATGTTAGTCCTGACTCTAGGAGAAGTCTACACTGGTTTAGAATAAAGGATTATTTTAGAGCTGCACAAAACGAGTTATTACATTTTGCTAGTTAACATTAAAACAGAGATGTATTTATGATGGCAAACACTTTAAAAATAAATGGATTTCATTGCAAATTCTACTTCAGTGGCTATGCCATTTTTTTTCCCCAAACAAAACACATTCCAGTTTATAATTGCAATTACAGCTGTACTTGAAAAAAAAAAAAAAAGGAATAAAATGCATTTTAAATCTCCCTCCCCTCCATTTCTGGCAACTACTGAGAAAGATTGCTCTAAATATGATTAACATGTAGCTACAGCAGAGACAGGCCTGTGATAATGAACTGAGCTCCTGTGCCTTCTGCTGTGTAACATGTAAATATTATCCTTAAACTCCTGAGTAAACAAGATCTAAAGCAAACCCAGAGCCTGGACCTGTTTCTCATCAGCAGCCTGACTGTTTTCTAGACCAGGTTTTCACCACCCAGACCCCACCTCTCATTCCTGCCAAGGAAAACCAAAACACTCTGTTAGAGCACCCTGAGGAGGAGGAGGGAGAAGAAAGTCTGAAGGATGAGGTGCAGAAAAAGACATCCCAGCTCACAGCAAAGGAGAACGAGGTGAGGAAGTCACGGAATTGTTGCTGGTTTAAGAGCTCCAGCAACAGCACAACACACCAAAGGTCCTGGAGGTAACTCAAACTTGGTGTCCCCTGTAAGGATTCTCTCTGCTGAATTTTTGCCCTGATACCAGCCTTGCCTAAATCTCCAGTAAAGCACCTCCATGGAAGGACAAGGTACCAGCAGCCCTTGGCTGTAGCAGCAGAGCCCTCTCCACACAAACCCATTTCTGTTGGCACAGACAAGAGTCTCAAGAGCCTCACAGGAAAAAGCCACATTAAGAACCAAAACCATGAGCACAAAGGAGAAGAAAAGGGAAAAAAAGGCTTGCAGTAATAACAGTAATATGAATAACAGGCAGAGTCTGCTAACAAAAGCACTGCCCTTGCCACTGGGCTGCAAAAAAAAAAAAAAATCCAAGCCTTTCCAGCCTTTTACACATTCCTTTCCATCAAATTATCCTTCTGCCAACTAACAGCCCCACAAGCAGCGTTCAGACAGCAAGGGTTTATCAAAAAAGGACCTATAAAAAATGATTTATAACTTACTGTCGCAGAGCTGAGAGCCACACAGGAGAAGAGCTTGTCACGTTAATCCAAAAGAGAGAAAAGACCAGCACCAACAGGTCTTACCCAGCACCCCCTGGGGGAGGGTTTATAAAGCACAATCACAGCAAGAGGGAACAGCTGGGGAGGGGGTCCAGCTGCCCCCTCTTTGGCTCCTGAAGCCTCTGGGCACGGGCAGCTCCTTCCACAGCTGCTGCCAATGATCTGCTCATCAGAATGGCAGCAGGGTCTTGTGCCCTTCATGAAAGGGCCCTCCCTGGGTTTTGGGGTTGTGCAGCACAACCAAGCTGCCTGTCCCATGTGTCCCATGTGTCCCATGCCTCAGAGGGTTTAAGGGACTCTGGGATTCCTGTCAGGGTCAGTGAAATGGAGAATGAATTTCAGAATGAGAGGCAAACCCTGACGGGAGTTTGCACTGCACGTCTTCTTCCCGGTCATAAAAATCGCTATCCCTCCTTTCTCCAGTGGGATGTGAAGGTTGGCAGCAAAGCCAGGCAGGCCACGGGGTGGTGACAGACTGGGCACTGCCTCCACCACCACATTCCCAGTAACCCCGAGATCTGCTCTGTTCCCTGCAGGTACATGTGGACACACAGGCACACGTGGACACCGGGGCAGCAGGAGCGAGACCCCCCGGTCCGGGCGGTGCCCGCGCGCGGGTGAAGCTCTGCAGCCTCTGCGGGGGCCCTGCCAGGCTGCGTGGGTACCAAAGGGAGGGGACCCCCCCCGGTAACCCCCCCTTGCTGTGCTTGCAGTGCTGGGAGCTGCGCTCGGAGCTGGAGGCCCTGAGCGAGGAGTACCGCTCCTGCCTGAGCAGGCTGCGCCAGTGCCGCGACGAGCTCAACCGCTCCCACAGCCAGCGGGCCAAGGTGGGAGTCCCCAGCCCCAAACCCCAGCGCTGCACATCGGCCTGGGAAAACCCCCCCAGAGTGGAAAGATCAGTGACATGTCTGCTAGGGATGAGAAGTTTCTTCCCCGGCAAGGGGACCCGAGGGAATGGCCTGGAGTTGTGTCAGGGGAGGGGGAGGTTGGGTATTAGAAAAAGGTTCTTCCCCCAGAGGGTGGTTGGGCACTGAACAGGCTCCCCAGGGAAGTGGTCACAGCTCCAAGCCTGACAGAGCTCAAGGAGCATTTGGATGATACTCTCAGGCTCACAGTGTGACTCTTGGGGATGGTCCTGGGCAGGGCCAGGAGTTGGACTTGACGATCCCTGTGGTCCCTTCCAACTCTGTGAAATTCCCACTAACAATGGCTTCTCCCCCCAGAGGCAGCGTGGTCACTGGATCCCCCTCCTGGTGGCACTCACAGCAGTGGCCATTGCCACCTTCCTGGCAAGTTACAGGCCATGAAGGACCTCCCTGATGACTGACTTCATTGCAGGAACTGACTGTGCTTCCCCAAAAGTCTGTGACCTCGCCGCAGTGCACCCTCTGCTGTTTTGTACCTGCGTGTTTGGTTCACATCCTGAGCTGGTCTCACTCCAGACAAACTCCCAATAAATGCTGGAATATCACCCCTTCCCTCAGCTGCTTTGGTCACTCTGTTCAGTGGAAGGTTGCACTGCCCTGTCTCCCGTGGCACTGAAGGACAAAGCCACTCTGGTCATCACTGACAGGTCTCACACGGGGAGGGAGGGACAGGGCATCCCACACCCTTGGGATCCAGCCTCCCTGGGTTTTTTGCCCCCCAAATTCCCTTCCTTTATTTACTGCCTCCCTGTATGGAACGTTTTTGACCTGCACCATCTCTACTTGTACCTGACAAAGAAACCTGGCTCAGGGAGGCTCTTTAGCACAGTCCCCTTGTTTTCCCCTCGTGCCTGTTCTGAGCAATTTTTCCACCTCCCATCTACCAGGCCCTGTTCTATCCTGCTTTTCTAGCCTGTCTTGTGGCCAAGCATTCCCTCAGCCACACCTGCTTCCCTTTCACTGCCAGCACCACATTAATTTGAGAGAGGCAGAGGTTTTAAGCCCCTTTTGAGCTGCACTGTGCAGGTTTTACAGAACTTGCCCCTCATTCATGCAGAGGCTCAGCTACGACCCAGTGCAAGACACCCCCTCGTATGAGCAGTAAATACAACATGGAGCCTCCAATAAACTTCACAAATTCAAAGTACCGTGGTGTTCAAAGTTTTTATTCACCCTCAGCTGCTCACAGCAAATAAATACATCCTTACAGGGCACAATCTGCAGGCAGGACCGAGGCTGCAGAGCAGCTGTGAGCACACACATCCACACGCTTGTCTTCTTTAAAGTACATGTATTTGTTTTGCCACTGGCCCGTGAGGTCAGGAGCATGAGACTGTCACAATTCAGCCTTTGGTGCTCAGGGGCCAAGAGATGCAGTGGGTCACACACAGGGGAACTGGATCTTTTGCCTCGGTCCTTGATGTAAGAAAGGCCAAAAAGTCCGAGTTTGCTCATGTTTTACAAGGCAACTGCTGGAAGAGACACAACCTCGCTGGAAATGCAGAGATCCACAAAGTCACTCTGTGCACTGAATGCCTCCTTCAGCTCGTCACACCAGGCATCCAGCACCTCTCCCAGCTCCGTGTGGAGGCTCTCCGGGATGCTGAAGGAGTAAATCTGGACCCTGAGACCGCCCTTTATCCTGGGGCAGGAGGCCTGGACCGTGAACACCCTCAGCGGTGTCAGTGCCAGGCAGTTCTCGGCGCCCTCCTCCCTGGAGAAGGTGTACACCGCGGGGTACCCCAGCAGCACCCCCGCCACGGTGCACAGGTTCCAGTCCTCGGGCTCAACCTCGCTGCAGGACACCGGCCCGGCGCCGGCGGCCTCGGCATCCCGCAGGTGGTCCAGCAGGGAGGCGAGGTGGCCCTTGATGGCCTCGGCCTCCGGCGCCCCGCAGAGCGCGGGGCATCCCCTCCCGGCGGACACATCCACGAAGGGCGCGGGGCGGGCGCGGAGCATCCCCTCCAACCTGCCGCGGGCCAGCCGCGGGTGCAGGAGCAGCGCCGAGCCCCCCATGCCCAGCACGTGGAGGCGGCTCGGGGCCAGCCCCGCAGCCCGCAGCCCGCGCAGGTACCGCCGCAGCTCGGCGGGTCCCGCGGCCCCGCAGTCCCAGAGCAGCGCCGGCTTCAGCCCCGCCGACACCGCCAGCACCTCCCCGGCAGCGTGCAGGGCACGGGCAGCCGGCAGCCGCCGCCTTGTCCTGCTCCCTGTGCCCTGAGCGTCCCGAAACCCCAGAGCATCCCGGGTCCCCTGAGCGTCCCGAGACCCCAGAGCATCCCGAGACCCCAGAGCATCCCGAGACCCCAGAGCATCCCGGGTCCCCAGAGCATCCCGAGACCCCAGAGCATCCCGAGACCCCAGAGCATCCCGGGTCCCCAGAGCATCCCGGGTCCCCAGAGCATCCCGGGTCCCCAGAGCATCCCGG